TGATTTGCAGCTTGGTTTTTAAACGTGTTTGAGTTAGGAGCGAGTGTTGCATTACTGATGATTAATCTGCTCGAAACACCTTTCGGGGAGGATATTTTGTGATTTTGAACATCAATAGTTTGAAAAATTTTATTCTGCCGAGTAGGAAGCATTCCCTTAAGATGGGTCTTCAGAATGTTGAAATTCATTGTTACAGAGTTTTCCAAATTAAGGATTTTCGACATATTAGCACCGGCAAAAACTAAATATTCATCCAAGCAGTTTTTTATCTTATATTTGAGTAAGAACAGTTAGACATACCATAAGTTTCTCACATCTTGACGGAAAATGGTAGAATAATTTATCCTCATCAAAATTTTCAATTTCTAGACTTCCCAGTTCATTTTTAAGAGTAAATTCCCTAGTCCAAGTTACGTAGCCTAGGCTTTATCATTGATTTTAGCATGTTTCATTCTTCTTGGATTTACTAGCGCAACAGTAAATCCAACATTTGATTTCCAGGCTTTATCATTGATTTTAGCATGTTTCATTCTTCTTGGATTTACTAGCGCAACAGTAAATCCAACATTTGATTTCCAGGCTTTATCATTGATTTTAGCATGTTTCATTCTTCTTGGATTTACTAGCGCAACAGTAAATCCAACATTTGATTTCCAGGCTTTATCATTGATTTTAGCATGTTTCATTCTTCTTGGATTTACTAGCGCAACAGTAAATCCAACATTTGATTTCCAGGCTTTATCATTGATTTTAGCATGTTTCATTCTTCTTGGATTTACTAGCGCAACAGTAAATCCAACATTTGATTTCCAGGCTTTATCATTGATTTTAGCATGTTTCATTCTTCTTGGATTTACTAGCGCAACAGTAAATCCAACATTTGATTTCCAGGCTTTATCATTGATTTTAGCATGTTTCATTCTTCTTGGATTTACTAGCGCAACAGTAAATCCAACATTTGATTTCCAGGCTTTATCATTGATTTTAGCATGTTTCATTCTTCTTGGATTTACTAGCGCAACAGTAAATCCAACATTTGATTTCCAGGCTTTATCATTGATTTTAGCATGTTTCATTCTTCTTGGATTTACTAGCGCAACAGTAAATCCAACATTTGATTTCCAGGCTTTATCATTGATTTTAGCATGTTTCATTCTTCTTGGATTTACTAGCGCAACAGTAAATCCAACATTTGATTTCCAGGCTTTATCACTGATTTTAGCATGTTTCATTCTTCTTGGATTTACTAGCGCAACAGTAAATCCAACATTTGATTTCCAGGCTTTATCATTGATTTTAGCATGTTTCATTCTTCTTGGATTTACTAGCGCAACAGTAAATCCAACATTTGATTTCCAGGCTTTATCATTGATTTTAGCATGTTTCATTCTTCTTGGATTTACTAGCGCAACAGTAAATCCAACATTTGATTTCCAGGCTTTATCACTGATTTTAGCATGTTTCATTCTTCTTGGATTTACTAGCGCAACAGTAAATCCAACATTTGATTTCCAGGCTTTATCATTGATTTTAGCATGTTTCATTCTTCTTGGATTTACTAGCGCAACAGTAAATCCAACATTTGATTTCCAGGCTTTATCATTGATTTTA